AAGCTGATGATAAACATAAACAGCAAGAACATTTTTTACATTTAAAAAACAAAATCACGCCCTAACTGGTTTGGCTCAGTGGATAGAGCGTCGGCCTGTGGACTGAAAGGTCCCAGGTTTGATTCTGGTCAATAGCATGTACCTTGGTTGTGGGCACATCCCCAGTAGGGAGTGTGCAGGAGGCAGCTGATTGATGTTTCTCTCTCATCGATGTTTCTAACTCTATCCCTCTTCCTTCCTCTCTGTAAAAAAATAAAAATCAATAAAATATATTTTAAAAAATAAAATAAAAATAAGTTCTTATTTTTTAAAAAATCACCATATTGTCAGGTGGTGAAGGCCTGGGGAGGAGGGTTAGAAGGGGCCAGTGGGAGAAAGGGGATATATGTAATACTTTCAACAATAAAAGAATTTTTAATTTAAAAATAAATAACAAGATCCACTACAGCATTCCCTTTGCAATGACTCTAGAAGAGTTAGTATGATACACTAGGGAAAGTCTGGTCATAGACAACTAAAATTCATCCACTGGAAATGGTGTGACATATACTCAATAAATGTATTGTGCTGTGTATGCAGAACTAGTAATTAAAATGTTTTCTCTTCAAACATCTCACATTTTTATCTATAAAATTTTCCAAGGGCTTGAGTAAACCTGTTTATCAATAGAAAACATGTATGTTTCTGGCCAGGTAGCTCAGTTGATTAGAGTGTTTTCCCAACATGCCAAGGTTGTGGGTTCAACCCACAGTCAGGGCTATACAAGAATCAACCAATGAATGTGTGGAACAACAAATTGATGTTTCTTCTCTTTCTCTTTCTCTTTCTCTCACCCTTTCTCTCTCTAAAAATGAATAAATAAAAAGAAAAAAATATATATTTGGGTAAGCCAATATTCTGAATTAATATTGGTAATTCCCAACTTTCAAATATAGGATTTCTTTTACTTCTAAAAATTTACTGAGTTCCTATTCTAGTTTAATGTCAGTTGCTCAGATTACAAGCATTTTTAATATTTTGTCTTATTTCGAGAAATACCTTTTTTCTATTTTTTCTGTTCAACTTCTTCTTCTCTCTCCCTTTTTTCAACTCATCTCATTCTAGTATTGGAACTATCAGGTTTCAGTTCCAAAAATACCATAAACATTTTAAGTATAATTTCCCTCTAATTGTACATGCAATTATAGTCTTGGTTTATAAATGGTCAGCCATCCAAGGTACAGAAATTGATAGACTAATTAAATATTTTCCCTTTGCATGATCCGGGATGCCAGATTTCCAGCAAAATATCTGAAACCTCACTCCCCAAAGCCCTGTCTCCTTTACAAAACTAACTCTAAGTTTTGTGCTCTATTACTTGCAGCATCCCAATTCCAAGAAAAAAATTCTGTATCAGAATTTGAATCAATTATAGCTCTAATTTTTATAATAATAATTTTTAAAACAGTGGCTTAAAACCGAAATACATTTTTCTCTTACATAAGAAGTATGGAGGGGAGTAGTTCAGGGATCTAGACATTCTTTTTCTGATCCATAATCCAAAAGATGATCTCAAGACCCAAGATAGCGGCTGAACTCTCGCCATCAGACCCATATTCCAGTCATCAAGGAGGGCACACACTGGCTCCTCTTGGTTGAATTAGTTCTTTTAAGAAAACTCTTTCAGAATTTCCATCCAAAGCTTTCACTTATGTCACAAGCCACATGGCACCAAAGAAGTCCAAAAATTTGTCTTTAATTTAGAGAGAAACAGTCCTACAAATTTAAGGTTCTGTGACCAAGGAAGAAAGAACAACATTGGAAAGCAAAGGGCAGTCCCTGCCACTATGATCATTATAATTTTCTTTATAATAGTAGAATAATGGAAACAACCTAGATAACTTAAAGAATAAACAGTTAAATAAAATGTAGTATGTTCATGTTAAATACACTCTTGGTGTTTAAAATATTCATGTAGATTACTATTCATTGACATAGAAAATTATTCATGATACATTTCTGAGAAGGGAAAAACAACATCGATCATGTAATCACATATGTAAAATCACATCTGAAAATATTTCTTTTAATGTTAACAATGGTTAGATAACCAGAGTGGTTAGTACTTTTTTGTGTAATTTTACTTTGTTCTTTATACTTTTCTACGCTTTGAACTTTTTACAAGGACTATGCAATGATTATACACATGATTACTGTGGGAATAAAAAGACACTGAATGGAACTGTTACAAGATTCCGGGTCAGGAGAAATAGGGAAACTGAGATAGGAAAGTTAAAACAAGGCCAAAGAGTGTGGGCAATTTGCAGCCAGCTTGTAACTAACAAGACACTTGAGAGCAAATGGTTAAAAACCTCCCTAATGAAAGAATACAGACAGGGGGAGAGGAAGGGGGGAAAGAAAAAATAAGAAGGGGAAGTTTTACTCCCTACGCAGAGAAGCCAGCAGTCTCGGGCTTGGCAAGATAAAGTTGGCAGGTGCTTCTCATGAATTCTGGGAGGGTCACAACAAAGTTAAAAAAAAAAAAAAGACTTTGAGACTTAATCTATACCAAAATATTCAGCAGAGGAATTTTGAAACCTATAGGCAAGAGGGTATATGCTGCCTCAAACCCTCACCCAACATGCTCTTCAGATTAGCTGGGAGCCCGTATGTTCTTCATAAGCCAGATGTATAGGTTTGCTTACTTGCTCTGTTTTTTTCAATAAAGGTGCATGCTTTAATTGCTTTGATAAATTGGCTTTTCACAAGGCAGTCAAGGTCTCTCCTATAAATTCATTTGTATGAGAAGACAAGGATCGAGGTTGGGGACAGCCCTCTCCCGGTGACTCAGAGGGCTGCCCCGTAACACCTTCTGGTGACGGTGAGAGGTGCCTCTAACAAAACCATCTTAATTAATCAAAAAAGGTCACTGCAAAGCTTCCTATTTGCCCATAGTCTTCAGCCAGTGGGGTTTCTAGGCACCCTGTGATACCCATTTCGTACTGAAAATATTAAACTGCGCTGAGTATCAACTTGTAAGTGACATGGCGATCGCAAACAATAATGACTGTTTGTCAAAACCCTGATTTGCTTTCTTGTCTTAGACGTCTAACTTTTGCAAATCTGAGTTTTGTACCAACTCTGCTCCCTTTCTGTGAGTGTTTAGGATGGTATTCAGTAGAAAAGAAATAGGGATTTTATTATACCTTCTTATGTTTGTGTAACTGTTAATGGCAGTAACTAATCTTTCAGGTAGTCATTACCCCCTTTTTTCATTCTGTCAAATACAATCATATGTGAGACTTTGAGGGGTATAGGATATTTGAAATACATCTGCCTTTCCTATGTGTGGAAAGTAAGCCTTTTGCATTGTTCCCTGTGTCTCTGAACTGGGTAGAATAATGACCCTTTTACTTACTTAAAAGAGCATTGTGAAGGTAAGATAAGATCATTATAGGAAATGTTTTGCAGAGTTAAAAGTAGCATTTATTATATTGGGACAGGCTGGCTTATCTTAGAATCAAGGGGCTTATGCAACGTTAAGGAGAAGCTGTCTTCTGCAGTACTGCCCACAACACCTGCAGCCAACACAGCCAAGCAGGTTGCATGCTACTTCAAAGGGAGCAACAAATTGAGGACAGCAGGTGTTACAAGAATAGGGACTAAATCACTAATCCAGAAAGCCGTCGTGAAAAAGCAGCCATAATTTCTTGCATCACCTTCCGGGGAAACCTTAATTTATTGTGTAAATTGTATTGTGTTAAAGGATTATAAAAAATAGATTAGCCATAATTTTCTTAAAATATCGCTTTGCAAGAAGCTCGCTAATTCCAAATAGCTGAGAACTAAGTATTTTAAACTCCTCGTGAAAGAAAAAAATTCCAACAATTAAGGACAAATATCTCTTTTTTATTGAAAGCAAAAACACAGCCTGCTTATCAAAGTGGTCACTCTGAACACACACACACACACACACACACACACACACTATCATATAACCTCCTTTGAAATGACATCTGGCTAACCTCCATTTCACAGGTGGAGAGAACTGGGGCAGAGACTCTGAGGCTGCCATGAGTGGCAGTTGGATTTCCTCTGACTTTAGTAGAATTAAGCAGTGCCTGGGGGGCATTAGGGGCTCCTCCGGATTGGGTCTCCTGTTCAGCACCTGGAGAAGCTTATATCGCCTTGGTAACCAAGCCTAAACCCTTTCTGAACGTTGAAAAGGGTGATTGATGCTTATTGATTTACAATCGTTTGGGTGAATTGTGGTTTCTCTCACCATGTTGATGAGTTTTTCGCTTTTCTTTTTTTTTTTTTTCTACTAAAGGGATTTGTGAGGTACCTACCATCCTGCATTCTTTATAACCCCCTATGTATATATAGAGTTGTTTCCCAATGTGTTGTTTTCTGTATGTTCCCCAGCCCCCGTTGTGAGCTTTGTCCACTTGGAGGAGAGCCTTTGCACCTGTGGGGGTGATGTGAGTGGCAGCCCCACAGACAGACCAACCACGAACACTTTCTCTTTTTAAAAAAAAATATTTTTTATTGATTTTTTACAGAGAGGAGGGGAGAGGGATAGAGAGTTAGAAACATCGATGAGAGAGAAACATCGATCAGCCGCCTCCTGCATGCCCCCCACTGGGGATATGCCCGCAACCAAGGTACATGCCCCAGACTGGAATCAAACCCGGGACCCCTGAGTCCACAGGCCGACGCTCTATCCACTGAGCCAAACCGGTCAGGGCCGAACACTGTCTTAATAATCAGATGCCCGGGCACGGCACTGGGCTTCAATCACTATTGCATTCAATCACAATCGCAAGTAACTTCTTACGCCTTAAAGTTTCCATCTCTCAAATGTTTTGGGCTTTAAATATGTCACCAGGATATTTACCTGGCACTTGCTTAAATGTTTTAGAGAAAATTTTACCTGTGTGATATTTTTGCTGAAAGCAACATTGTGCTTTGTTGTTATTGTTGTAGTAACTACTGACATTTGTTTTCTTCCTTGCTTCCAGCTGTGTGAGTACTGTGTCGTATATGGATGAACCTAGCCAGCGTGATGTTGCCTCTCGCCTTACAGTTCAGATGGAAAACACCTATCAGCTGGGTGTGTTATTTTATCACTCTCTTCTACGTTAAACTTCTAATTTTGTGAGTGATATTTACTTAAACTAATATTTGATAACCGGCATTATCTTCAATGCTAGTACAATAGAAGGGATCTTAACTGAGTGATTTGATGCTGCTGTAATTTCTTTCCTCTTTTCTCTTTTCTTTCTTTTTTCTTCTCTTCTCTTCTCTTCTCTTCTCTTCTCTTCTCTTCTCTTCTCTTCTCGAGTGCTATCACCCCAAACTTTAATTGCTTACAAAGAGTTCTCCACAGCTCCATCTCTGCACTACAAAGGCTGCAGTTCTTCATGTGTGTGTGTGTGGGGGGGGGGATAGGGGGGGCAGAGTTTCTCCCTAGGGAGCAGTATGGCTCCATGTAGATAGCTGGACAGAGGGCAACTTAGCAAGACATGGGGACACGCTTTTCCTAACAAGGAATCTCAGGGAATTCCCCCTCACCCTCAGGGACTGAGGCTAGCAGGCTCCTCAACCCCCAATGAGTCACAGCTGATTAAGGCTGCATGAGTCCTGATCAGCTCCCCTCCCCTCCACGGGAAGAGGTAGGACTGGGGCAATGGAGAGGAATGGGATTGGGGGAGGCTCATCTTAAAGAAATCTGGGATTTTGAAGGGTCACCTGTGTGGAGACAGGTCAGGACTTGATCCCTTCACCCCATCTGGGAGTCTGCTTGTGCTCATGCGGAACCGCTTACCGACCCTTCTGGAGGGTCTACTTTTCTTTATCGGTGGTTGCTAAACACCAAACAGTTCACTGGGCAGCACTGATGAATATTGTGTCTGACTGAAGTAAGAAGTCCATTGAGTATTTGGGGGGATTATCTTGTGGGGTTATTTTATATATACTTGAAATGAAGTGTATATATAAAACACGAAATAAAAGAGCTATGCATTAAAGTTTTATCTAACAAAACCAACCAGTGCTGTTGGTGGGTGGAGAAAAAAGCCTTGAAGGCAAAGGCAAATGATTCTGGGTCCCCTGTTGACAGAGATGTTTATCCCTTCACGCTGAGGTTTTAGATCTTTGAAAACAAAGATCTTTGCACCTGCCCCTAAACTCCCAGTGGAGTCCACAGTGAATATCTTTTCCCATTCATGTTTCCTTATAGACCTACTTGTTTTCTCTCAGTGCGTGCCTGCCCACTATTATCTGAGTCCATATATAATTACTGCTATAGAGAAATTCCGCAGAGACTTACCAGTGACCAAAGAAAGACCCCATGGGCTGGAGCAGTTCCATCTGTGCCAGTTAACCCTGTGAAAATTACAGACCATCCGCGCATCCTATTAAGCCTTGGAGCCGGGTTTCTACAGTAATCCCCAAGACTACGTGGATTACAAGGCTCCATAATTAGTCAGTCTACTGGTATTTTCATAATGCTGTGGTAGACAACGAATATTCCTGCCATCCAATGCATTTTTATACTTCTCAGAACCTTACCCAGTTTTGTGGGGTGGAGAAGGAGCGGTGTGTGTGTGTGTGTATGGAGCATCATTACTACTTTGGGTCCCTAACATTCTGGTGAAGCTGATCCTAGCCTCAGAGATGTACTAGTGACGAATTCTGGGATGGCATAGACCCTCCAATTGGTCAAATCAATCAAAGCCTTGATATCCAATTCAGAAAAATGTTTGGCTGTTGAAGAAGCAGATCAGGCCCTGAAACCTGAAAGTATGTATGTAGGGGCTATGGCAGCTTTTGCTCTCCTGCCCTCACATGAAGCCTAAGAAGAGAGAATTACATCCTAACGCCATCATTTGAATCCTAAGTCCAAAGTACTCTTGGGCTTTTTAGCGAGGCAAGCTAAGTTTGGGTTAGGTTTTCACCCACTAGTAGCTAAAAGATCTTTGCCCTTCCGTGCCTATGATTTGGGGTTCGGCATACTGAAAGGGTTTGAGTCCAATTTCAACAAGATAAAGGAGTTGAAATATGAAGCCCTGTGTTTCTTCTTCCTGGGATATTTTATTTTCATGACTTATTTCTTCAAATAAATGGGCTAAACTGTCTTATCAGTTTTAGAAGTACTGGATGTTGAACCAAGTTAGAAAAGTAGCCTAATATATGGTAATAAAAGATGATTTTACTTTGGTTGGTGGGAACACAGTGCAATATACAGATCTTGTAACATAGAAATCCACACCTGAAATTTACGTCACCCCATAAATTTCATTTTTTTAAAAAAAGAGGGTAGAAAAGAAATTTTCCAAATACCTTAATATGTATAGTATTTTCCACATATTCTTACAAAATGTTGTGTGAATTAATCTCCTATAATTAGTCTTTTGTGCTTGACAATTAATTTTTTAAGCATCCAACTAGCCATCTTATTAAAAATCAAAAACATATTTCTACTTCTATTTATTTCTGGACTTATTTTGCATATGAAAGGTACTCTGTGGGCCTTGGTAAAGATTTCTCATATCTACAAAAGGCAATACTGACCAGATTAGTGGGGGGTGGGAGATCAGTCAATCGGCAGCATTACTGTGTTTAATATTTCACATTCTATCAAAAAATATTTGTATCATCTAAACATATCTTAAATGGTTAACATGTTTGTCCTCCCTTTATCTGAGTAATTACAGCCACCAAGAATAGGATGAAACATGAATGTAAATTAATGAAATGAAAAAAAAAGGGAATGGTAAAATAAATGTCCATATTTCTTGTAATGAAACACCATTTACATTTGCTCACTAATTAATTACTGAAACATGCATATAGAAAAAATACAGTCTATAGGATCCAATATATCTGAATATGAGTTTTGCCAAATCCTAAATAAATGGTGTTCAAGCAAGGTATTTCGAATCCTTGAATCTCAGTTTCTTCATCTATAAATAGGGATTAATAGTCCACATATCAGAGGGATACTATGAGAATTAAATGAAGAAATATATTTATATTGCTTCTCCATTCATTATGTTATTGCTTTTCAAAATGACTGCCTCTAAGACTTTACCTTGGATCACGGAGAAGAAAAGCCTTCTATGACATCCAATATAATTTCCTATTAATTATGGAATGAGTTCTCCACGGTCCTTTTTGGAGCAATGATTAAAGAGGTACTTGATTCTTTACAAACACTGACTGAGCAGCAAGTCAGACGAGACTCATTGGTGGCCGTATTTGCTGCCACATTGAGACAGCCTGAGTGAGAATGAAGCCAACATAATGGAAAGTAGACTTTTAAGATAGAGAGAGAGAGACATCATTGGAGCTCACCTTCTGTGAGAAGATCAGGCCCTGTCATCAGATGCGTTCTTGGACAGCCTATGAGTCTCTCAGCTCAGACTTCACCCCACCCTGTGGAGGCCTCCCTCCTTCCCTACTGACACCTTTACTGATCTCGCCGCCTTCTCAGCACCAGCACTCGCTTTCCTTCCTCAGAATAAGGTAGCAACAACAACATTATCTAATGAGTGTGTGAGAGTGTGTGTGTGTGTGTGTGTGTGTGTGTGGCAGGCACTGTTGTAAGCACTTTAAAAAGTTCAACTCATTTAACCCTAACAAAAAACAATATTTGGTCATTATTATTATCTCAGTTTGCAGAAACTGAGACACATATATTAAATGACTAAATTTTTTATCTATTCTCTCTTATCTATTTTTATGGACAAGTTTTTCCTCTTTTTTTTTTCATCCATCAGACCTTCTTCAGGTCCTTGATTTTTTTTAAAATATATTTTATTGATTTTTTACAGAGAGGAAGGGAGAGAGATAGAGAGTTAGAAACATCGATTAGCTGCCTCCTGCACATCTCCCACTGGGGATGTGCCCGCAACCCAGGTACATGCCCTTGACCGGAATTGAACCTGGGACCTTTCAGTCCGCAGGTCGATGATCACATCCCCAGTAGGGGTTGTGCAGGAGGCAGCTGATTGATGTTTCCTTCTCATCGATATTTCTCTCTATCCCTCTCCCTTGCTCTCTGTAAAAACTCAATAAAATAGATTTTTTAAAAAAAGAAAGAAAGAAGTAGCTTTGGCATTCACATCGGTTGACTCTGAAAGTCGCTTCGGGGAGCTGATTTTGAAAGTCAACAGCTGAACACTGATAATCGCTTTCTCTTTGCATCTCAGCATTGCCGCCTGAGCAAGGCAATGATGACTGTGACTGTAGAGGGGGCGTCACAAAGGAGTGAGAAAAGCTCATTCTATTTCACAATAGAATCTGGTTAATGAGATTTTTTAAAAAAGTAACAAAGTGCAGAAAAGACATTGGTCCATCTGGCCAACAGGAGCTACTGGAAACAGGCTCAAGTGCCCCCAGATATCTGCCTCTCTAGCACCAAACTGTGTGAGCTCCTCCTCTCCCCGTGTCTGGGTTCCTTCCCACTGTGAGAACTGGCCCCCAGCAGCTCCCGAGGATCACATGGCATAACTTCGCCACAGAAAGAGCCGGATCCTCTCCTACTCCCCATCAAGTCTGAACTAAAAATTCCAAGAAAGGACTCCAGTTGGCCTGGCTTGGGGCAAGTGTTTCCTCTGGGCCAGTCAACCATGACCTGGCCTTGGGCTCAAAGGAGGCCCTGGGAGATCCTAAAGAGCCATGTGGTCAGTGTAGGAAGAGGACCAGTTCCTGGAAAGGGAGACGCTGTTCCCAATGGCAGGGAGGTGTACTAGGCAGACAGGCTTCCACACCGAAGGAGTTTACTACTTTCTGAAGGGAGCCATGCATATGGTCATCATAGCACAGTGATGGTGAACCTATGACACGCGTGTCAGAGGTGACGTGCGAACTCATTTTTTTGGTTGATTTTTCTTTGTTAAATGGCATTTAAATATCGCCTCCTGCACATCTCCCACTGGGGATGTGCCCGCAACCCAGTTACATGCCCTTGACCGGAATCGAACCCGGGACCCTTCAGTCCGCAGGCCGACGCTCTATCCACTGAGCCAAACCCGCTTCGGCAAGTTAAGGTTTTTCAAAATGCTGACATGCCGAGCTCAAAAGTTTCACCATCACTGCCATAGCACATGACTAAATTAAGTGTCATGTGGGTGATGTAGGTCAAATGTAAGGTATGTGTGATATGAGTGCTTCGTAAGAGGGAGTGAGAAAGAGGGAGGTATGGATCTAAAGGATGCAATCTACTTAATTTAGTCTAAGCTGGCAGTTCATTTTAAATTTTCTTAAATAGAAAGGGGGAAAACAATCTCAAATTTAGCCTCATTTCACTAGAATATTTGAGTAGATATCGAAAAGATCCACAGAAAGGGACTCTGAGGTCTATGGTACCAGGAGCTTGCCTACAGACCCATAAAGCAGGAGTGACCGAGACCAACCTTTCACAGGTTTATAACTGCTCATCTCTGTTTTGTAGAACAGAGCTTCCTGCTGCTAACTATTGGGGTTAATTATCACACTCATTGCATCAGATGTCCCTGTTTTACACGTTCAGATGCATTTCCCACACGAATATAAATTTAATTGAACAATTCCTATGCAATCATCAAAATGAAAATACTATTTTTTTTCCTGATTGTGATCATGTACTTTTTTTTAATTAAATCTTTATTGTTCAGATTATTACATTTGTTCCTCTTTTCCCCCCCATAACTCCCCTCCTCCCAGTTGAAATACTATTTATTGAGCCTCAGGAGGCTGACCTAACTCTGCTACAAGCATGGGCTGTAACCTTCTGGGTCAGTTCAGCCAATGGGAAAGTTCCGTCGGAAGCCGCAGGGTGGAAGGGCTGTGAGCTGGGTCTTTTCCCCTCCACTCTGCCTGTGGGTTCCTCTCAGGCTATTTGTATCAACAGAAGGACATAACTGCTCTCCAGGGAGCCTGACCCACGTGCCTCTTCTAGGATCTAGGAAGAGCTCCTTTCTCATATCCCTCAAGCCGGGGGTAGGATGAGGGTAACACCTTCACTTTCACTAACCTAGGGGCAGTTTCCTTGAGATTTCCTACATCCTGCTCAGACCTCTCAAAGGAGTCTCTTTATTAAGTCCTCCTGGAATTGTCTTAACTTTGGTGTGTCGTGTGTTCCCTTGGGCCCTGACAGATACAGTCATTAAAAATAAACTCTGAAAAGATACTGATGAATATTCAATAGAATTGGATATAATTCTTCATCTCATCCATTTATCCATATCAATTCAGCAAATAATGATCAAGCCCCTGTACCCCAGGCCCTGGGCACATGGTACACATTGTACAGTGACAGAAAGACGATGAGGTTAATACTCCCAGGAAGTACAGGCAAGATTCCTGGAGTGGCAGGTAAAGAAGACCCATCTGAAGCTCCTTATCTGAACATGGACTAACTGTGGTTAAGAATATGAGCTCCTGAGTCAGATAGACATGGGACATCCCAGCTCTGCCACTGTGTGATTCCGGGCAAATTATGCAATGCATTTAAACCTCTGTTCACATCTGTGAGAGGGAGATAACAGTAAGATTCACGCCAGAGACTACTGGAAGTTTATATAAAGTAACAGATATGACATTCTTACCATAGTGCCTGACATGTAGAAAATGCTCAGTAAAAGTAGCCATGATCTGTACCATGATTATTCGCTCTAAATGTTTGATTCTGTCTTATTTCAGAAATCATAAACTAAATATTTCTTATGCCATTAGCATTGTATTCAACTCTGAAGAGGATAAAAATCTAGCAGACCTTCTCATTTCACTGGGGAGAACGGCAGGTGTGCCTTAGCTGTTGGGTAGATTCGGAGCCAAGATAGTGGTGGGGGCCCGGGTGCATAGGGAGTGCAGAGGGAGGGATGGTTTTTATTGGAAGAGAGCAAGAAGGCTACCTGGAGAAGACTTTTGAATTGGCCTTGAAACACACTAGTGGATATTTCTAGATGAACATGATGGGAAAGGATGTTCTATATATATATATATATATAGAGAGAGAGAGAGAGAGAGAGAGAGAGAGAGAGCAAGAGACAATGTACAAGCAGCTTTATAAGACAGATGAAGTCCATGAGGTAGAGCAGGATCGTGCAGAGCCTGTGATGTTGGAAGAAGAGGCTACAGGGAGGGTGGGAGCTGAATGTTAGACCTTGCTAAGTGAAATATCATGGTAAGATCTGGGACTTAAGACCTAGAGACATAGAAACATCTAGCAAACTGTCAAACCTCAGAGGGAAGGCAGGGGACGGGGGGAGGGGAAGAGATTAACCAATGAATTCATATGGGTTGGGAGAGGTCAATGGGGAGGTAGAAGGGGACATATGTAACACTTTCAACAATAGAGGTTTAAAGAAAGAATGGCCCTAAGAATATAGTAAACAGCAAAAAAAAAAAAAAAAAAAAAATCTTGGATTTAGAACGATCCATCCAGTTGCCGTGTGGTAGGTAGACAGAAGCAGTAGAGAGGTGTTGTGTTGAGACTTGGATGTAGGTCATTAATAGTGGGAACTGGGAATGGGGATATTTTTCAGTGTCAAACCTCAATGGTTGAACACACTCGTTAGGTCGTCTGGCAAATGGATGAGTCTACTGTCTTATTCTCTGCCAGAGAACTTGACTGGAAATCTAGGACTACCGTGTTTTCTTTAATGAAGGCCACACAGAAGATTAAATATCTCTCCATGTTTCTGTTCTCTTAATTAGCCTGTGAGGTGGGCGGGTATGATATAAAATGACTTCTTAGCCCAGGCCAGTGTGGCTCAGTTGGTTGGGTATCCTTCCGTGCACACAATGGTTGCCGGTTCAATTGTGGTGAGGGCACATGCCCAGGCTGCTGGCAAGATCCCCAGTAGGGGGAATGCAGGAGACGGCTGATAGATGTTAAGCTCTCATATTGATATTTCTCTCTTCTCCTTTCCTCTGTCTCTAAAAAGTCAATAAACTATTCTTAAAAACAATACATACATACATACATACATATAAACAAATAAATAAAATGACTTCTTAGGAAGAAATTTTGTCGTATTTTCAGGTCCTACCAAGCATTTTCCCGTGGTTACCGTCAATCATATTCTGAAAGATGTGTTAACTACCTACCTACAAGAAGAACAATATGACCCAGAGCTCTGTAGACAGATGGCTAAAACAATTTCTGAGGTAATGTGTGATTTGCCTAAAGAGTTAACTGTAACTAGAATATTTGCAGGGAGTACAACCCCCTACTTTTTGAAGAAAGCAATTAATTTGCAGTAGCAGTACAAATGCTTATTTATATTTTATTTTATTAAAATATGTATTAGGTCATATTCCATCTCTGTGTGAGAGCCTTTGTCTAAAACAATCATTACGTGCATCATTTGCATGTATTTCATTTAAAAAATGTATAAAACTGCCCCCATTTATTTTTTTAAATTATTGTGAAAGATAAAAAATTTTAATGATCATTTCTCTTCCCCAAGGCAGCTTTGATGGCCATCAAACACAGACATTGTGGCCTTTAAATTCATTTAAGCGCATTCATTTCTATTTTTATCGACTGCAGTGCTGGCACTCTCTCAGATTTCCTCTGTTTGCTCTTTTATAACACAGTCTTTAATGAGCGTTTATGATTAGTCATATTGCAGGAGACTGCAGACTTATGGTCTCGTCATCAGACATGAACAAGATGGTGTAACTCTAATGCCAACGTTCTTTGAAGGGAAGCCATCTTAACATAAATTTTCCAAAGAATATAATAACTCTATTAAATTCTGTTTTCTGGATTACAGTTTTTTTTTCATGTGCCTGAGAAAAATGTCCATTTATTGCTGGTGCTGTCACTTTGTCCCTAAATGTCCTTTCTCGGGAGGACAGTGCTTAAAGCAAGTCATAGTTATGGCTCTGCAACAATTAGTGACAGTATCTACAGTGGATCATGCTATTTTCTTAAGTTAAATCCATTATATTTATGACAAAGGGCAAGACTCTTTTAAGTTTCCATGCGGCTAAGTGAGAACCGTTTTTGTATTTTTTCCTTTTAAATTCTAGGTGATTAAAGCCCAGGTCAAGGACTTGATGATCCCACGGTACAAGCTGATTGTGACTGTTCACATTGGACCTCGGCACGGCCAGAGCATACTTATTGGGAGTAGATGCCTCTGGAATCCTAAAAGTGATACCTTTGCATCTTATGTTTTTAGAAACTCTTCACTCTTTGCTCTTGCAAATGTCTATGCCGTTTACTTTGAGTGACTGAAAATAAGAAATCTAGTATTACTTCTTTGAAATCAAGAAATAGGCTGTATCTAAGTACACAAAAGTTTTACTGACAAAAGGTTTGAGTAGGAAATATTAATACTTCAAACAACTGGAAGATTTGGGAATTTTTTATACTCTTTTAAAGGTGGGGGTTGGGGAGGGTGGCACAAGAAAGAATCTTGTTTATCCCAAGAAGGAACTAAGTCTTGGTTCTGCTGGATTTTTTTTCATAGACATAGAGTCTTATTAAATATTGCTTTTGGTACTAATTATTTTAATTACTCTTCAGTTAAAGAGCTGGAATTTTCTGCTTTGTTTTTTAAGGAAGAGAAGTTTTAAAAAAAATACATGGCTACATACCCTGACCAATAAATGACAGTAGGATATTCAACATGGTGTACACAAATGACTAATGTTAATGTGTCTCAGTGCTGCATATAAAAGAATACTGGCTTTCATTTTCTACTTAATAAATTGAGCAGCATTCATTAACTGCAATTATTGTTACATGTACCTGACAGTTGAAACTGCTGAGGTAGAATTAATGATTTCATAACAATTATCGTAGTCCCGCGGGGCTGCTAGATAAAACTAGAAGCTCTTGTGAGCTGCCTGCACTTCACAGAACTGTGGGAGAACTCAGTGTTGGCTCTTCAATAATGGAAACCATAAAGTGAATAAAGCCTTTTTCAGGCACTGAAGTAATCGTTGTGATATTAAATATGCATGATGCTTAATAGTAAATGTATTTGTAATACATAAAATCATGTATTCGAAAGAGACGCTGCTTTTAAGTATACACTGCTCGCTGTGCCTTTGAATAGGTTTTCCTAGGCTAACAAACTTTCCCACAAAATATATCGCCGGCAGGCTAACACATAAGACATGTGTATTTACTATTTTGTTCTTATGAATTTAGAAGTGACCCAGTGTGGTTTTCAATGGATGGCACTAAAATTTATAGGGCTGAAATAGCTTCTTATTCTGCTGGTTAATGTAGTTTGTACCATGGATCATTTGTTTTTATGGAGCTTTCAGCGTGTAAACTGATGCTGTGGCATTGTTCTTGGATGGTAAGTGGACTGCCCAGAGGACATTAGTTAAAGGTCAAAGACAAATTGTACACATATGGAGAAAATTAGCAACACGGTAATCCTAAGGAAAAAATGTGTGTAATTCATACCAAAAAGAATTTAACAAATGGGAAAACAGTCGGTTCTTTATAGTTTTAAAATGTATCGATGTCTCGTTTTTCACCCAAAACACATTTACTTTTAAAATCTCTTGCCTTCTCTGGCTTTGGAGGAAGCTTTTCAAAATGAACTATATGATTTTTGTTATTTTTTTCTGTTAGTGCCTTAGAGGGAAAATGTCTGTGTAATAATTTATCACAACCAATATTTGTCAATCTCCATAGACCAGTTTTGAATCTGGATTATATCACAAAAACAGCAAGTAAATTAGCTTCATATTTTCATTACACATTTGAGAACATCTCTCCTGTTGGAACAATAGCAGGAACAATCATAGAGCAATTTTGCATGACTAAATAAGAATGAAGGAAATTATTTAGTATGTAGAAAATCCATTATAAAAATGGCTTTTTTTTTTTTGTAGTTCTAAAATTTCATCCATGAGATTTTCTTACCATCTGTACCAGGCTGTGTTAGGAATCAAACCTTAAAACATTATGTGCCCAGCCGGCATGGCTCAGTGGTTGAGCGTCAACCTATGAACCAGGAGGTCATGGTTCAATTCCCAGTTGGGGCACGTGCCCCGGTTACGGATTCCATCTCTGGTGTGGGGCAGGCAGGCGGCAGCCGAGAAATGATTCTCTCTCATCATTGATGTGTCTATTTCTCTCTCCCTCTCCCTTCTTCTTTGAAATCAATTTTTAAAAAATAAACAACAAACATGATGGCTGTTAAAAAGCAAAAAGGAAGCAGTTTGCCAGTATATTGTCATTTACTGTATGTAATTCAGGTCATCAATGATGAATTTTAGAAATTATCTAGTCGTATAAAAATATAGTAAAAACTCACTACTTGTGACTAACTGGGAAGAATGCTGGTTATCACAAAAAGCCTTGTGGTAGGAAATTTTGATGGATGTGTTAGCTAACACCACGGTGGTAAGCACATTGCAATATATAAATGTGTCAAATCAACATGTCATACACCTGAAACTTACACAATATTATGTCAATTATATATCAATTTAAAAATTAGACATTTTCTTAAAAAGAAATGTCACTGTAAATTTGAGGGAAGGGTTTTACTCTGAAACATCCTGAATTTCCCTGGTACTTTTCCTTCTCAATAGTTGTCCCTAAAGTGCCATCCTTCCCCCACACCCATCTCTACCTTTGCTTATGCCTTTCCCTTCCACTTACAGCAACTTTCTTCACTTTTCAGCATTAAACGCAGGTCTCACCTTTTCTCTAAATCCTTCTCCATCCATTATTTTCCTCCAATTCTCCTCTCATCACTCTCACAGTGGAGCTCCTGATTATCCTCTAGCTGCTCTTTGAACAATAGTTTTGTTTCCCTTACTACACTGACAACATCTTGAATACATGGACCACATAACAGCACATAACAATAAAATTTAGTCCATCTGAACTTTTTGAGTAAGCATCATAGGAAGGCACTATACTACCTAACTACCAACCACAAAGACACTAGTATCACACCATTTAACCCAAGGGACCAGCATCCTATTGGGATGATGAGTACACAAGTGACCACAGTTCAGGCTAGAATATGACTTTATAAGAAAATTCCAGAATATCTTTATTATAATAAGGGAATCAGGAAAAGATTCATGAAGGAGGTAGCACTTACCTAGACCATGAAGTAGATTTCAACAGACAGAGGAGGTCTGAGAACAGGAAAAAGTCCAGCCTAGGTAAAAAATAGTGTTTATAAAGATAAGTGGTCAGAACTAAGATGGGAAGGGCTCGTGGGCGGTAACCTGAATGTCTGGGTTAGAAAGCAATGCTCTGACCCCGGGTAGTCATCGAAGGCTTTTGGTAGTCATGAAGCAATTCCTTCAGAGAAATCCACCAGCAGAGAGCAGAAAGACCACCCAGGTCCTAGTGGGAGGCAATGAGAGGCTGAACTGAGTGGTGACATTGAAATGGAAAACAGGGCAGTGGCATGGACACTGTAGGGACACAGTCTTCACAATCAGGCACAAGGGAAGGGTACGCAGAGGTGACTTTAAGGGAATAGGACAGGCGGTTGAAGGTGTGGAGCTCTGGGTGTTTGCAGTCTCAGGTCTGAGTCCTGCTGCCCCAGTCACTAGTTAAGTAACCTTAAATTACCAGCCTCACTGAGCCACAACTTCTCCATCTTAAGGTAACGGTAATGCTGGTACCTACCTCACAGGGTTTTGGAGTCAGCCCAGTCCCAGGAGACAGAACACTCACTCAAAGGGAGGGCTATGACGGGCCTGTGGGGGTACAGCCTCTGCTTATTAAACACAAGTGAAAATTCCTGCTTCTAAGCTCTTAGCAGTACAGTGCCTGATAGGAATCCCTCATCAAAGTGGCTCCTTTGATAGCTGTTCAATGTTTGAGTCTGGGCAGCTAGATCAATGGTCCTATTAGCAAAACGAAGGTGGTCAGCAAGAGGAGTTGAGGACTGAAAGACTGAGTTTGAGCCCTAACTGGTTTGGCTCAGTGGATAGAGCGTCGGCCTGCGGACTGAAGGGTCCCGGGTTCGATTCCGGCCAAGGGCATGTACCTTGGTTGTGGGCACATCCCCAGTGGGAGGTGTGCAGGAGGCGGCTGATCGATGCTTCTGACTCTATATCCCTCTCCCTTCCTCTCTGTAAAATATCAATAAAATACATTTTTTAAAAAAGACTGAGTTTGAGTGTGAACTTGTTGAATTAAGTTAATAATGGGACATTCAGATGGAGATATTCTCAAGCAGCCGAAAAAGTGGAAGTGGAGAGGAGCTACAACATCAAGGTGAGAGATTTAGACTTGGCAGCCCTCCAAACGGAGACCTGACATCTTCCTCCCGCTTATAAAATATTCAGCAGCAGCAGCAGCCTCTTCAGCGGCATCGTCAGTACTAATAGCAAATTATGGGC